GCCTTTTGCAGGGGGAAAATCAACAGCAGTAACTAGCTGGGTTCTTGGTTTCACCTCCCACCCTTCCCCGCAGACACTTCCTTCTTGAATCAGAAAAGAACTTTGTTCCCAGAAAGAGCTTTGCTTGCAGCTCTCATCTTCTGGTCTCCTCCCCAGCCTCGGAGCTAGTGCTCTCTCTCTGCTGTGGCTTCAGGTAGGGCAGGAGGAGGGTTTGGTGTTCCTTGGTAGGGCAGTTTGGGGGGTTATGTTCCTCCAGCCTGTTTCCACCACTGACTTGAGACTTCACTGGGATTGTCCCATCCAGGCAGCTTCCTCTGAAGGGGGAAGAGAGGATGGTTCAGTCAGCTTGGACAAGGTTTGGATTTTGCTGCAGTATTTCTAGAAGTCTGGCTCCAGACTGGCAGGCTGCCTGCTCAGCCCCTCCACTGGAGATCAGTGCCCCAGTTCTGTGCCATGTGTTGGCTCAGCCTGTCCCCACCAGCACCCACAGACTGGCACGAGGCTTCCTGCCACTCCCCTTGTGTCCCAGGGTGTGAAAGGAGTGGGATGGCAGCAGGGCCCAGGATGCCTCCAACTCTGAAGTTGTTTTTTTATGGATTTGTGAATTGTTTGGCATCTACTGAAACTGAATGGGTCCCATTCAGCGGGCTGGTGCTGCTCATCTTTCTGCAACCCAGAACAAAACCAGAGGGAGGGGGAAGGTCTGGGTGTTCCTGTTCAGGGCTGCTCCAAGTCCTTGCAACCCCTGGAGATCACCATCACTTGATGGTGTGCTGGGCTCTCCCAGTGTGCTGCTTCCACAAGTGACCTCTGAGCAGGACCTGTCTGCATCTAAGCTGGGTAAAGGAGCAGCTCCCAAAAAGCAAGGTAGGCCCTGCTGGATGGATCTGTGCTGGTTCTGGGGGACAGGAGAGGACAGGAACCTTGGCATTTTGCTCAAGTGAAGTTCACTTAGAAAAATAGCTGGGAAAAGTTGGACTCTGGACCTCTCTTTTTGAGGACCTTGAAGCAACTGATCCTCCTTCCCTTTGGTCTCCCAGAACATGGGCTGCTTTTGGTACACGAGACAGTGACATCCCCAATCACTGAACTAAAGTTGTGATGCAGTTAAAAAAACCCAACATCTCGAATTAAAATTAAACCTGTCACAACTCTGGGTAGAGTTTTCTAGCACTTTTTGTTCTAAAGCACTTCCGTCCAAAACAGACACCTCATTCTAGTTGAAATGCCACATGAAGAGGCTTTTTAGTAAACAATTAACACATGATGATGCACTTCTCTTCCAGGAAGGAGGGGGAGGAATGGGTTGGTTGGCTCCATTTTTGGCTTTTTCAGCTGCCATAAACTAAGAATTGTAGGCTCTGGAGCAGGAGGGATCAAAATTCCTTCCCAGGAGCTCCCAAGCACGTGTTCAGTGCACCAACCAATCTCCCCAGGCCTGGCCCCCTCCTGGGCTTCCTCTGAGTTGGGGGAAGGAAAAAAACCTGTTGGTTGTTTCTAAGAAGAGTCTGAGGATGAGGTGGCAGTGTCACACCTCCTGGGTGAGGTGGCAGTGTCACCTCCCTGGTGAGGTGACAGTCCCAAAGCCTGCTCTGTGTCCATCCCAGTGCCTCGTGGCTCTGTGCTCTCCCAGTGCTTCCAGGTGCAGCTCCATGGTCCTGGGCGTGGTGCTGGGCTCAGGTGGTGCCCAGCAGCAGGGCAGGATGCAACCCTCTGCTCCCAGGACTTGGAGCTTCCCACTTCATCCACAGCATTAACCTTCCCCAGGCCACGTGTGTGAGCAGGAGGCAGTGAGTCCTGCTAGCCCCCCTGGCCTTGCTGGGGAGGGGGAGGTGACCACCATCTCCTGGACCCTCACCAGCATTAACCATCATCTCCATCCTGCTCATTTTGTCCCAAACCTTCAGTCCTATTTTGCTGCCACCTCAAGTGAGGAAGTGAGGCTGCAGATTTCCACCTAAGGAATCTTTTCCTTGACAACCAGCTGGGGCTCAGCAGTCCCTGCTGGGTGGGAAGAACCTTGGGCTAATACCACAAACCTGGTGCTTCCTGACTCTCCTGAAATGTTCTCCCATCAGGAACATCTCCAGGGTTTTCATGTGTTTGCTGCCTATCTGTTTGGGATCTCCTCAACTCTCTTCTGCTGCCAGAACAATTTCTTCTGCAGTTGGCTGGTGACTTTTGCTGTGACAGGTTCCACTTCCAGATCCAGGCTGGCTGGAGAGAAAGTCAGGAAAGCTTTTTGTGATCCACATTCAAATTGGGTTGAAACTGTGTCATAACACAACTGGCTTGAGGACAGAACCTCTGCTCAGGGTAGGGAGGACAAATAGTAGGAGTGATGAACACAGATGGTTCTTGTCATGGAGCTCCTTCTGGGAGGCTGGAAAAATCACTGTTGGCAGAGCAAGATGAAGCTGATCATCTGGGATGGGCAGGAGGAGTGTGGGTGAAGGTGATGGAGGGGCTTGGAATGAACCAATGACACTTTATAAAACTGTGATTTCTTGAAATTAACTTTTTTTTTTTACCTGCATTTTCACAGGAAAAAAAAAAATAAAGTTGGAAAAAAAGAGAGAAAAGATTCTTCCTTCTCATTGGTGGTGGTTTGATACCTTGGCCCAGACAACAGGGAACAGGAGCTAAATGTGGCATTTTTCAAGGGAAGCCTGGTCTGGGTAAACTCTGCTGTGGGTTGCCCTGATTTTTGGGAGATGCAGCAGCACTTCTCAGAATTCCAGAGTCACAGAGTGGTTGGGGTTGGAAGGGACCTCTGGAGATGCCTGCCAGGGGTCACCTACAGTAGATCCCACAGGAACATGTCCAGGAGGGCTGGGAATGTCTCCAGGGATGGAGACTCCCCCACCTCCCTGGGCAGCCTGTCCCAGGGCTCTGCCACCCTCCCAGCAAAGAACTTTCTCCTCATCTTCAGCTTGACCCTCCTGGGCTCCAGTTTGTGCCCATTGCCCCTTGCCCACTTTTGTTACATCTGAGCTAAATAAGCTGGTATCTGTCTGTTCTCATAGAATCGTGGAATCCCAGACTGGTTTGGGTTGGAGAGACCACAAAGCTCATCCAGTCCCACCCCCTGCACGGGCAGGGACACCTCCCAGCAGCCCAGGCTGCTCCAAGCCCCATCCAACCTGCCCTTCAACACTGCCAGGGATGGGGCAGCCACAGCTTCCCTGGGCAACCTGGGCCAGGCTCTCACCACCCTCACACCAAAGAATTCCCTCCTCTTGTCTCACCTCAATCTCCCTCTTCCAGTTTTCATCCATCCCCCTCATCCCATCCCTCCCTGCCCTTGTCCCAGGTCCCTCCCCAGCTCCCTCCTTCCCTGCATCTCCCCCCTGCAAATCTTCACCCCTTATCCCACACAAGCACTTTATCTTCTGAGTCATTTTATTACCAGTTCTGCTTTAGATTAAACAGGCCTTCAGTATAGAAAAATAATGTATACAAATTAGCAGTTAATGTTTTACATTTCTGGCTTAAAAGGCATTTATAAGTTACACATTCATTTCCCTTCCCTCCCTCTGATCCCGGGGGATCTGGAGTTGGTGCTTGGCTTCTTCATTCCAGCAGGAAGCAGCAGCTGCTCTGGCTTGTGGTGGGGACCTACCCGGGTCTGAAGCTGAGGCTAGCAAAGATGTACACATGGTGGCCACCAGCCCTGGCAGCAGGGGCCAATTAATGAAGTAAATACATCAAGAGGTTAATTGTGGTTGGGGTTGAGGCAGCAGCAGGGCAGGGATGGAGGCCGGGGTGTTGTTTGGAGGTTCCTGTGGCTGCTCCGGCCTCTCTCCCACAGAATTCCTGCTTCAGCAGGGAGGTTGGACTGGGTGATCTCCACAAGTCTCTTTCCACCCTGACAATTCTGTGATTCAGCTCTTTTTTGGGGGGTCCTGGTGGTTGCTGCAGGGGCTGGAGGCTGCAGGGGCTGCCTGGGGAGCAGCGTCCTGCTGGTCCCTGTTGGCTCCGGAGGCTCCAGCCCCACGGGGGAGGCAGGAGGACAGGGGGGCCACCTCGCAGACTTGAG